AAAAAAGTCACATAATCCTTGCCTTCTTTTTAACTAGCATATCTCATGTGTGTTCAAAAAAAGACAAGTTTATGTTGTGTCTATTAAATGAAAGATATCAGATTTATAGTCTTGCACTGTGCAAGGCACAACCTAAGATAAAAAGAGGCGGCCTGGGAAATGTAGGTTAATTTAGTGGAAGGAGTCAATGACACAAGATGAGTCATGAGTCAAGATGTGGTAGACGTGGAACAAAATTGTTGGGGTCAGGCTTTTCTGAATTCTGAGTTTAATTTGTACGTTGAAAATCGTTTGAAGCTATGTTTATATTCTAATTGAATTTTTTTTTATTTAAAGCTCAATAGCCTGCCTTTGAATAAGGGTGCTCGCATAATTTTATTGTGCTGCTGCTTCCAAGCTGTAATGTTTCTTTACTAGTTACTTTGTCCCATTTTTCTTGTTTGGCTGAGTTCCTTGATTGGTTTGAAGTTATATTGGGCAGTGCAAAAGCTATTTTGACTAATGGTACCATCTTGAGTCAAATAATCATATATCAGAAGCCACATGATAAGAAAGAGAAGAAAACAGATTAGAAGAATGAGAATGGGTCCTGGGAGCTTTGCTTCAATAATGATTCAATTTATCCTGCAAGTAGAGCTGATTTATTGTAACTAGCCCCAGATTGTTGGGGTTGGGCTTTTCTGAGTAGAATTTGTACCTTGGAAATGGTTCAAAGTTCTATGTTTGTATTATAACTGAATTTTTCATGTAGTGATATTTTCCTGTAACGAGGCGGGTCTTATGGGAGCAGCAAGGTTGCTTAATTGGGACGTACGGATCATGTCAAGAAAACAGCCTCTTCGCATGGGGTTAGGGTGTGTATGTCTAGCTCTCCATCAACACCATACTAGCAGGGCTCGTGCGTTGGTCTGTAATTGATAAACCTTGAGGTCATTCAAAAAAGGGTCTCCATGGAGCGCTGTTGCTTTCATGTTGCAGTGTTTCTGTAGTGTTTACTGTCACATTTCTTTTTAGCAGTGTTTCTCTAGTGTTTAGTGTCACATAATTCTTATTTTTGCTTTATAGATTCACTTACCTTTATTGCCATGAAAGTATTTGAGTGATCCTTAATTCCTTCAAAGTTCTGTTGGGCTCTCTAATTGGAATCTTGACTAATGGTACCATCTTGAGTCAAATAATCATATACCAGAAGCCACTTGCAAAGACAGGGAAGAAAGCAGATTAGAAGAATGAGATTGGGTCTTAGAAGCTTTGCTTCACTCATTTCTCATTTATGGTGCACATAGAGCAGATTGACATGGTCATGAATGTATAAATGAGGTAGCATGATCCTTCAACATGATTGACCTACCTTCCAAGGCTTTGTGTATCATCAGATGTCGGGCAAAAATATCGAAATTTCTTTCTGCAATTTGATTTACATATGCTTTGCTGACAGGGTTTTCTTTCTGAACTTATATTGATTAATATCTTGCTTACATAGATGTTACTTTTAAATACTTAACAGCTGCTGATATGAAACGTTCTAAATCTGTTTATTTTTGAGTTGGCTCCTCATCTTAGTGGGTAAGATCTTCCAATTACTGTCATGTAGGGTGACAACATCATCCTTCAACCAACTAAACTGTTGGGAAGTTTCAAATTTTTGTTTCATGTTAAAAACAGTAGGACTGAAGCAAAAACTCAAGATGCATGCTTATGATTTTAACTTCATGGAGGACAGTGGACTCTCGTCTCACTTTCTTCAGGGAGAGAAAGCATTGATTGCAAATAGCTTGTTAAGGCAACTGGGTGTACCCCCGACGAATCTGGCACTCTTTTATCCTTGTAAATAGACTCCTGTTATTCTTTTTTTGTTTTTATTTTTTTTTGGGGGTGGGGTTAAAACCTGAAAGCACTTTCAAACCTTCCTTTTCCAGGAGGAGCCTTAAGGGTTTATTTGGTATGTTTTTTGGTAGGGGTTTGGATTGACTTGCCCAAATCCGGGTTTGACCCAAAAATGGAATTCAAAGATAAAATTCAACATTCAATGTTATTTATATTCATGTATGGTATGCGCAGAGATATATGACTATTATGATAATATATTTGTATATAAATGA